CCATATATAGAAGGATGGGTCGATGAAAATTTCTTAAAATAAATGTTTGTGGTATAATCTTGATTGTAGTATATAACCGATTGAATAAAATTATGCTGACGGATAGAGGTGACAACTTTTAAATATTTATTGAAAATCACTTTTGAACAGATTTAAAATTTATGAATAATGATGATAATATATTATATTGTAAGAGTCAACTCGTATTCATTATAGTGTTAAATGTCAGCCTTCCTTACATACATGCAAGTGCAATCTTTTCTCTATGCAATGTAAGTCAGTATTGTGTACAAAATATAGAAATGTATAAATATAGGAAAATCTATCAAATTTGTATACTATGCATTTACATCAAAAAATGTAGATAGAAAAATATATTTAAGGCCCTAATAATATAACAAATAGTGCACTTCTCCACATTTCAAAACAACTCAATGCCATATTATATAGAATGCAAATGCAATGTAATAGTACTGATTAATTAAGATATCCAATGCAATACCTAAAAAATGCTTGAATTGGTAATAAAAGCCAAATTATTTATAAAATAGAATACTCACTGAACTTTAACTTTTCAAATTCTAACTTCAGTGGAATATTCAAATAAATATTTTAAGACTTTGATATAACTATTGCATTTGTCAAAAAAAAAAAAACTTAATTCAGTAATATACTTAGAAATTCATGTAGGAAAAATCAATTGTTAAAAACTCACTTTCATATAGCCAAAATGTTCATAATAAGAAGTGCAATAATATATTAAAAATTACACAATAAAAACTTTGTAAAACCTTAGAAAAATATATTTCCATTCATATCTTTTTATAAACTTACATAAATTGAAATTAGAGAGGGATTTAGGAGTCTACCTTGAGCTCTACAATTTTTTGAACATACCTATTGAATGAATCCCAAGTTTTAGCCTCTAAATTCTCTCTCTCTCTCTCTCTCTCTCTCTCTCTCTCTCTCTCTCTCTCTCTCTGCCCCCTCTTCTCCTCCTCATCCTATCTTCTTCTACAGCAAGGCTAGGTGAATATGAGTTTAGCAAATGATTTCAAATATTTAGTATTTTAAACCCAATATTCTGACTTAGCACCATGATGCTCACTTTTTCAATGTCTCAGTACTCACTTTTGCAGCATCACAATGCTCACAAAGAATCTTCTAGATTTTATCAGAATATCCTCACATGAAACCTAACATCTTAACACACACTTAAACCTATTTTTTTAATCCAATACCCCAAGAGCTCAAAGCTAGAGAGCTGAATACACTAACATTGTGAAGCCAGCAAAACATTTTCATAACTTGGAATTTTATTTCTCAGACCTTAAACCTTAGTTAATTATAATCCAAAAAAATTTTAGGACTCATAATTATAAATTAGTTTAAAATTAATAATCATTAATAGAAAATTACCTAAATTTAAGATGACATATATTACACTACTCTCCATTAATAGGTAGTGAACCCTACCATGGAAACCGTATGTTAAACCCTAAAATTCTTATAATTATCAAAATACTCTCAAACCTAGGATTTACATTAGGTTACTCATGATCCTAAAACTCATCCTTTGATCCACTCCAAAGTTTAAAGAGTCTTAGTCTACAACTTTGATCGAATGTTAGAGGGGCTTAACTAAAGTTAACTCCTTACCCTTAATACTTTAAATTAAAACCTTAATATTTAAATTTGACCTAATTGTTGCAAATTTGGATTCAATGATTATGATTTTGATGATAACAAACATTTCTAGCATGTCTATTTTTTTATTATTACCCTGCCTACTAATATGTCAAGTCCATAAGGTTAATTATAAATTAAGCCAGCTCAAGATTGGGTAGATTATGACTGAGTTTTTCTGTAAGTGTATTTCCATTATTTTTATCTTTTATTGAGTCAAATATAATAATGTGAATCCTAATGGTAAGTAACCTTGCACGCACATAATCGAGGGAAGAAAATTCTATTTGTTTTAGAGTTTTCTATTTTCGATCATATCGCCTGCGATGATCCACAATCATCCTTGACGATCAGTTAAAAATAGAAACTCTAATTAAGACATCCTTATTATGACAACCAAATTAAGCAAATCATCCTGGACGATCTTAACATCGTCCTAGATGATTTTAACATCATCTTGGATGATAGGCTCAAATCAGAAAGAATCAGCTGCCAACTGTTTTAGGCATGTTATTATTCTTAAACATTGTACAAGACATCATCCTAAATTAGTCAAGTTATTAATGGAAGTAATTAATGTTTGATTGATCGATCATATTGTCCAATATGATTGTATGATCGTCTTGGACAATTAGTTAGAAAAACCTTAGTCTTCTTTGAATGGTCCTAGACGAACAGAATGATGTGTTGGATAATATTTATTGATTTGAACTAATCATATAGGATAATCTAAGAATCTTCCTAGATAATAGGTTATTTTTTCATCATCCAATATGTAAAGTGATATGGGCGACAAGAACGATGTGCTAGATGATATTTATGATTTTGTACTAATCATACATGATGATATCCGAAGTCATTCTGGACTATCATAACAACGAAGTTTTTTAATCGTCTAGCCCTCCTAGATCGTCCTGGCAGAAAGGGCTGAAAATACGATCGTCTTGGATGATCTTTGACGGCTAGTTACAATTTTAGGGAAAATTTGAAGCCCTTCTATATAAGATCTCTTATTTACTCAAGATTAGATCTTTTGCTACTGTCTTTACTTGAGAGAGCCAAGAGAAGGAGATGGGGAACTTGAGAGAGAGAAAGAGAGGAACTTGTGAGGGGGATTTTATGAGGGGTTCACAAAGGTTGCTCCAAACAAGGATCTGAGTAGTCTTCTCCAATCGTCATCCCTGATTCCTTCGAGGTTATAGAGAGGTCTACTTCAGCGATCGATCAAGGTTCTTTGTCTGCTTCAGGAGGAAGCAAAAGGAGGTCGAGGTTCTCTACCTACTTCAGGAGAAAGCAAAAGGAGGTCGAGGTTCTCTGCCTGTTTCAAGAAAAAGCGAAAGGAGGTTGAGTTCTTTGCTTCACCAGAGTCGGTGGAAAGGATTTTTATAAAGGTTTCTCCATCTTGCTATGGAAGCAAAAGGAGAGTCACTGAGTTTAGTGCAATACCCGGAGGAGAGGCTCCGAGGAGTGGACGTAGGTCAAGTTGACCGAATCACTATAAAATATGGTGTTTGTTTTCTTATTGCATTTTCACATTTAATTTCCGCATTTTATTTTATGTGGGTAATTGTTTGGTTTAGATCGTATTTTTAGTTTGAGAATTTTTAAAAACACAATGAAAATTTTTAAAAACACAAATCCCCCCCCCCCCCCCCATCTTGATTAGCCTTGGGCTAGTTCATAAGGGCTTAACATCTCTAATAAACTTTCACTAATGACATTGCTTTAATTCTAATTGCTCTTAACTCATATTAAGAATATTTTGGCTCATGATAGACCTAGTGTTTTGAAAATTGTTAACTTTAGTTTAACCAACTCATTAAAAGAATCTTAAAACAAATTTAAATGTCAAAACCTAATTAATTGATAATGGCTTTAAGTATAAGTTAATCTAACTCAAATTTTGATCACTTGGGTACATGTTTAACCCATATCCAAGCTCCTTTGACCTTGGTCGACCCATATTTTACTTAAAAATCTTAAACCCTAAATTTTGAATCCAAGCATTTGCACCAATCCATTTTTTTTGGCCTTGTTCCAAATGACTATAGTCCATCCTAAATACACCTAGGAACATACCTAAAACATGGTCAAGCACATTGAACCATGGGTGGCCAAAGTACTAAAATATCCTTAAGGGATACCTACCGTTGGCACCTTAGGATAAACCATAGTAAACCAACTCTAAATCAAATCAAATTTTGTCTAATCCCTGCTTATACCCTGGGCATGATTCCTAGTTCAGCCCAACTCCAAGCTAATTCCATGAGCGGCCTAACCTCAAAGTGAAGCTAGATGCACTCTTTCCCTGAGAAAGGCTAACTTTATCCAACTTCATCGAGGATATCTCCACCTTCCCTTGGCTCTAAGGGTATCTAATCACTGATTGTTTGATCAGGAGGCCATGGATAACCAAGGTGGCAATATGATTATAGTCCTAACATCATGGCTAACTATTTTTAATTACACTAGAATGCTCCAAGACAACCTTTCACTAAATTGTCCCTAACAACTAACGAGCTGAATTTATTTTGGCTGTCATTGAAATGAGTGGAAAACACCCTGAGATCGTCATATAAATAGCTCTTTCCTCATCTAAAATTGGTTGCACAAGTTGCACTTTCTTTACTACCAATAGCTCCATCAATCATCCCTAAACCTTTCCAAGCCCTATTTTACCCTTTAAACGAGAGAGAGAGAGAGAGAGAGAGAGAGTTATTTTATTATTCATATATAATCAAATAATGATGTTTAAACTTTTATATAAGCATATCATTATTTATACATATATTTTTGTTCTTTATAAATAAATGATGTGTACTTTTGCATATGTTTATGAGGAGCTTATATTTTATTTTTATGTACAAGATTTATGTGCATATAGTGGCAATGTTAAAAAAATAAAGAAGAACAAAATTTAATTTTATTATCTAAAGATATTATAAATAATTTTTTTTATCCTTAAGAACACCAAATGATAGACATTTATGAATATATATATATATATTATACATAGACTTATATGTTAAAATTTTAAAAAAGGTTCACCCATCAATCCACCCTCAAACATTCCGCATGCTTATAGAACTTAAGAGATTATTACATGCAAAGAATCGTTCAATTTTGTGTCCGTTAAAAATAAAAGCTCAACATTGAATAGCAAAAATGAAGTGATGAATCTCTCGAAGAACTTACACTTATCCAAAATAAATAAATTATTTAAATTATGTCGTGAATGTTCAAATTTGAACAAGAGGGAAAATGTATAAATAATAAAAATGTCATAGGATTTCTGAAATTTTCACCTGATTTTTTTTAGAAACAACCCTCCAGCACACTACCACCATCACCGCCCCCGATGCATTATAAAATGTGCGACCGCTGAGAACGTGCATCAGCTCACCAACCCCAACGTCCGCTGTTCTTCACTCTCTCTCTCTCTCTCTTTAAATCTCCCGCTCCTCTGTTTTACCTATTCTATTTCTGTTTTTCCTATTCCCATTTGATTTCTTGTTGTTAATACGGAGGTCTAGTCTTCTCTTGTCCGATTTGAGGTACTTTCTTCCATTATGATCACTTAATTTTCACCTTGAAATCGGTCAGCTCATCGCCATCGGAGTTTGATTTCTTTCGATTGATCGATCGAGCAGGAGACGGCGGAGATGATTATTAACGTACGGGAGACAGTTATGGTGAAGCCGGGGGCTGAGACGCCGCGGCGAAGGATTTGGAACTCGAATCTAGATCTGGTGGTGCCGCGGTTCCACACACCGAGCGTATACTTCTACCGGCGACCAGAGATGGAGGGTGATGGGTTTTTTAATGCGCAAAAGCTTAAAGACGCGCTGGCGAAGACGCTGGTGCCTTTCTACCCGATGGCCGGCCGGCTTGCTAAGGATGAGGATGGGAGGGTGGAGATCGATTGTAACGCTGAGGGCGTTCTTTTGGTCTTCGCTGAGACGAATTCGACGGTTGAGGATTTTGGGGATTTTGCGCCAACGATGGAGATGAAGCGGCTAATCCCTATGGTCGAGTACACAGACGATATCTCTGCTTTTCCCCTTCTGGTACTCCAGGTATGGGCTGAACTCTGAATCAGGACTGATTTTCGCTCGTCCGCGTTTTTTTTTTAAAGTAAAGTTTAGGGAAAACATAGGATGAGCATATCTCATCAATTTTTTGAAGAGTGGATTTCAAAAATTCACACATGTCAATTTTTTATAATATTTATATATTATCTTTATAAAAATATTTTAATATTTTGTTATTCTATTCGAAGTCTTACCTTATATTGTATATCAACTGTCTTATTATTTTACATTTATCTGAAAATTTTAAATATCATATATTAAGATCTTGAATTGATAACACGTTAGTTGAAAATAAATTTAAAAATTCTGACAGATTAGATGCAACGGCTCACTTTGAATATTAAATTAATTATTATTTTTTAATATTATAATTTAATTATAAAAATAATTCCAAATGTTCAGAATAATTGATCATACTCAAAACCGGACGTCTCAATCAATTACTGTTTTTCAGAGTGAAATAGGATAAACTAGTACAGCACTTCTCGGTATATCTAAATGATTCAAAATGCATAAAAGTGTGGTTAAATAGATTAATTTTCTTGACTTTTTTTTTAGTCACGTGATAAATATAAAATTTTTTGTACATGTGAATATTATATTTCGACAGAAATTTGTTAGCCAATTGGCAAAAGCCACTTACAAGCTGCGTGAATAAATTTGTATATCATTGATAAAGATGCATTCTAGGTCAAAATCCATTCGAATGTAATTCGGTTTATTTAACCTTTGAATTTAAACCCAAAATATCAATTTCTTTGTATGGATGAGAAACTATTTCATAAGTAAATACATAAATCTTAAAAATTTTAAGAACCTATAGGATTTTGTGTGAAGAAGCACAATAATCATGAAAAGCTTGTGGCATGTATGGGATCCTCTTTTTTTTTTTTAATTATATTGTTTATATTTAATATGAAAAGAAAAATATATTTGATGTCTTATAAGTACTTTAATAAAAAAAAATCAGGCAAATGTCTCTTTATGAGTTCTCAATAAGTTTGGGAGAGAACGATCATTTGTGTGGTTTATAGGACATATAAGACGAGTATTGGGGATTTGACAAGGAATTTAGAGTATGTGTTGCAATGGCATGATACATAACTAATTCATCATCAAAGATCCCAGGAGGGAAATCCGAAAAAAAAAAATCATTTCCTCTCCTCAACCCGCTTTCCGTCTGCACCTCACTCTCCTCCTCCCTTTCTTCTATTCTCACAAAATCCAACTCCCTTCTCCATTTGAACTCCTCCATCAATATGATCAATCATGAATCTCAATGCATATTATAATTGAAAACTTCTTGAATTACAATAAGGATCGTCCTACTTTGATTTAAGCAAATGCATACTCAGGTGAACTTCTTGATGAGATAAACCCATCAACACTAAATGGGATCCAAACCAATTCCAAATAAGCCAAAATCAAGCACTTGAAGAATAATTCGAACCTTCGAAACATTTATTGGGTGATCAAATGATATCAAAATATTACATATTTATAGTCATATCTATTGTCTTGACAAGATGAATCCTATTGAATCATGTTTTGTTCGGTGTATGATGCTGAGTCGTACTTTACGCTACCTGTGAACTGGGAGCTTGTAGGGAGATAATTATTTCGGAATTAGATCCACGCAGTCTGGTTTGTTCGTCGATGAACTCGCTGGCGGATGCTTGGCAAAAGGTCTTTCTTCTCAGCAATCGTTATTTGGGCCTAGTCGGCAGGCTAGGGTGAGTGGAGTTATTGAAGAATATTGTTGAATTCTCCCTTTCTGAGGAGAAGAAGATCCACCGAGAGACGATAAGAAAGTGAATCATTTGGAGAAAGAGATTGCCCAGTTGCGCGAGCATCACAAGTTCGAATGAATCATCGAGAGCTGAAGCTTTGTCGGTCGTAGAGGCCAAAGACTAGTCTGAGGCGACAACTACTGATTATATTGTGGACGTCAAGGCCAAAGAGCAAGCTACGGCGACCGTTGCCGAGTTTACAGGTAAGTTGAATGAAGCGCTCCATGTTATCCGTGGCGAAAATTTTGCGCGCATGCTAGGTGATCGATACTTTGACGGGCAAGAAGTGATATTCATTCGTGATTTAATAAATGAGTCACATCGGCCTCCTGTAATTCTTTTTTGACATAATGTAAAGAGATGTAAAAAAATTTCTATTTTTCTTCTTTATTTTTCCCTTTTTTGTGAGAATTGTTGTTCTTGTTGACCATATGAGCAACCTAGACCCACTTTCCATTCCACGATAGCTCATTCCCCTGACAGCACTTAGATGATACTCGCCCCTCTAAGATCATCTTCCAACCTCACTCAACTTGCCCTTCTCAATAGCCATTCTCCTCGACATCGATGGGTGAATTATAACGAAGGATTGATGGGATCCCCCCATATCCAAGGCATACCCCATGCATATTTTCGAACCCTATAAAAATGGGGGAGGTTCGAATAGGAAGAGAAGCCCATAGCCTACAAACCGATCGATTAGGCCCACTAAGGAGATCAGCCTAAAAAGAGGATCATGCCTAAAAAGAAATGAAGAGAGATATTGTATTATGTTTCCCTTTTCTTAGCTTAAGCTCTGTAATGCAATGCTCTCTCTTTCATTATTCTTGTAACTTTGACTTGGATAATAAAGATTCTATCTAAATTCATACTTCATTTCTCTTCTCCTCTCTTTCTCCCTCATATTCATACTTCATTATCCTCTCCCTACATGCTCTCAATTAACAAAAGTAGCATGAAGTATAGCCATGTATCGTTCACCTAACAAAATAGGATACAACAAATCCAGCTAGCTCAATATCATTAAATTTTGATATCATTAAGACACTTAAATACTGAAAGAATAATATAAGAATTAGAAAATCAATATAGGTCATTTAATGAAGTGTTTCAGTCTTTGGCTATATTAACGAAGAACATCACTCTTAAAAATTATAAATATGCCGCCACTCTCTATATGAAGAAGACTACTTGACTTAAAATTCAAGAGAAGTTAGATGCTTGAAGAATCATACAGCTCCATCTGACCTCCATCATTGGACCACCATAATGAACCATCACCAACAAACTACGCAATTAGACCACCAACATCTAAACATCTCAATCAAATAACTAATGGCAGACCATCGCCATCGAACCATGGCAATCTGACTACCACCATACGAACACCTACATTGGAACACTCCCTTCTAATTATGACTTTCAAACCTAACCTTCAATTGTCAACTACAATCCTCTAACCATTATTGCCCAATTATGACCCTCTAATCACCATTGCCCAACTACACCCCATAGTCCTCTAATCATCATTCCTTGACAACCATCCTCCGGCCATAATTGCCATATTACGACCCTCTGAGTATCGTTGCTCAAATACAGTCCTCAACGCTTGACTACAGTCACTCAACCACTAGCGCCTAACCATAATCCCTTTAGCGCCAAACTACATTCCTTAAACTACCAAATTACGATCATCCAACCATTCCTTGACTACAATTGATGCAACATCAATATAAATGCCAAGGATAAGATCACAAACCAAGACCTACATTATAATTTGGGTCATTTATCATGCATAACTCTTCATACAAACTCGCGAATTTCTCATAATATTCTTAATATCATGGGAGAATGTCTTTATAACTTAATTAAAGCCCTCTTGATAAGTAGGGACGTTATATGAGTCAAGAAGATAAAGATCTTTATAAATTAATTAATTTCAAGAACATCCTACTTACCTTATTTGGTCAATTCAAAATTTTCAGCTATTTGTAAGCTTTTAATATTATTTTTTTGTTTATTTTATTTTTTTCTTATTATATGAGGACATATCCTCAATTCATATAATAGTATTTTGTCGTCTTCTAAGACTTTTGAAAATTGTCTAGGCTTAAGAATGCTTATAAATAGAACATTGCTTTGTACTTTTGATTAATTGAATAAAATTTATTTTTGCTTGTATCAATTTCATGTGGAAAGATTTGGTGGCTGCTCTATTCATTAGTGAAGCTTAGTGGCTGATCCCCTAGAGCTTTAGTGAGTCCTTAATTATCTTTTCTTACTTTTATTCCCCTTCTTATCCAACACAATTTTCATTGCATCCATTTAGCCTCAAGCGTAGCTTCCCTCAACCCCAAAACCCATAAAATGTATTTGAAACTCCCGAATATTCCCTCACTTCTCTCATAAACTTCCAAGGTTTCAAATTACCAATAATCCTAAGACACCATAGCCAACATCTCAATATAGAGAAATAATTTTCTGCTATGAGCAACCAAATTAAAAGTATCATAACTTGTCAACCACTAATTTAAAACCCATAAAAATATCACCATTTATTCTCTGACATCCTAAGCATTTGATATGGAGTTTCTCATTATTTCTCATATATATATATATATATATATATATATATATATATATATAGAGAGAGAGAGAGAGAGAGAGAGAGAGAGCCTAAAAGTTTCAGCTCCAAATTTGTCTAAAATCTAAATTTTGTTTTACCGCCACCTAATAACCCTCCCATCACAACTCTAAGTGAATACTAATCAAGTTATTGCCCTCGATATAAAAATACTCTAGGTCAACGATTCTCGAACTACCAATGTCTGATTATAGTCTTCCAATCATAATTGTCTAACTATATTCCTCCGGCCACTATCACCCATCTATGAAACTCTAACTACTTTCGTCCGACTATAATCCTTTGCCCATCATCAAATGAATTGTCTTCCAAACATTGTCGCCTGACTACGATCTCTTAGCCAGTATCACCCAACTATAATCTCGTTACTACTATCACTCGGTTATGCCGATGCGTACTCACTTTGTGGCCAATAGCATTGAGGCATGCCATTGCCTATTAGGGAGATGTGTGTCATCATCACAAAGGTTGACACTAGCCTAGTTTGTTACATTAAACATCAATGCATGTCAGTGCCTATAAGATTGATGATCAGTCAACACAAGCTCTAA